GAAATTTTGGAAATCCGTTTTTGTTTCATTTCAGCCTTGTTTGAGGTAAAAAAAGAAGAACACTTTCTCATGGCCACTTTTTGCCCTCTATCGAATGGCATAATCAATTTTTAAATGTAACGTTTCGTCTCTCCAGGATTATCATTAACTTCATTTTTTTTTAAATACGAGCCTAGAAATTTTTTGACATTTTTTGCAAGCCTTCATGACCCCCAATATTGTACTGCCTCAGCCCGAACCAGATTCAGACGTTTTGTCTCGAACAATTCATCTTCAGTGTATTCGTTCCAAATTTATCTAAATTTTTTATTTAGATTTCTTTGTTTATTGAATTATCGTACACTGTAAGTGTCGTTAGACCCTGTGAAATCCATCTAGTTATTTAAACTATTACCACCACGCATTAAAATAAAACATTATTAGAGTTTTATTCCCGTGTCCATAGTTATTTCTAGGCTTCTCGAGTGCTCAAAATTCAAACAAATTCCGATCTATTTTTTTCAGGATATTCATACAAATACATCTGACATGCTCTTTCACAGTTGCGGTTACAGATATAATAAATTCCGATAATATTACGCTGATCTTCATTTTCAACCTTTGCCAAAACGAAAATGTTTTTGAACATTTACTGAAATTTTTTAAAGAATAATATTCAGTTGGCGTTTTGGTTGTTCATATGCATTTTTAAGAATTAATTTGTCATAATAAAATTAAAATTGTAATAATGTTTTAATTTTGACGCAACAACTTATTGAGTTATGTATGACCAAGTGATGGTAATAGTTAATAATAATAAATGTTTTATTGTAACGCGTGGTGGCAATAGTTTAAATAACTAGATGGATTTCACAGGGTCTAACGACACTTACAGTGTACAATAATTCAATAAACAAAGAAATCTAAATAAAAAATTTAGATAAATTTGGAACGAATACACTGAAGATGAATTTTTCGAGACAAAACGTCTGAATCTGGTTCGGGCTGAGGCAGTACAATATTGTGGAACTTGAAGCCTTTCAAAAAATGTAATAAAATTTACAGGGTCGTATTTAAAAAAATGAAGTTGATGATGGTCCAGGAGAGACGAAACGTTACATATAAAAATTGATTATGCCATTCGATAGAGGGCAAAAAGTGGTCATAAAAAAGTGTTCTTTTTTTTTCAATATCATCAAACAAGGCTGAAATTAAACTAAAACGGATTTCCAAAGTTTTCGTTTTTTTCAAAGATTTCTAAAACTAATCATGTTAGTCTTGATTTTTTAGAAGCATAATGTTGGTCCCCTGATTACGCAACTTTGCCCCCATCTAAGCTACTTCGAACCTTTTACCGTTTCCGAGATCCCTGTGTTGTAACAGACTGTATAGGTATGCATTTTTTTGGAATCTACATTAGAAATTTTTATTATTTTATTTTCATGCAAAAATAATGACCTTTTACGTGTACAGGGCACGAAAATAAAATTTTTCTTAAGCTTAGCTTAGTCAATAGCAAGTTACTCTTAAAAAGTAAAAATGCCAGATTTATTATTTTCTTGAAAAAACACTAAATTAAACCTGGACCTTTTTAATAATTAATTTAATACCTATATATAACAATTTTAAATATCATTTTAAAAATTGTAATATAGAAGTGTTAAGTTTTAAAGAGTTTTACAAATTAACTAAAAATTTCCTTTTGAAACATTGCTTTTATAGTGTAAGTGATTTTGTTAAAACAACTAAACGTCTGTGACCATATATGTACTTTACTGTAAGTATATAAAAATGATCAAACAACTAACTGGTGACTGGTAATTTAAAAAGAACATATTTTGTTCATTTTCGTGAACTTGTGCTCAATATTTTTACTTTTAAACCAAACCAAATAACTATGTACTAACATTCTTATAAGTTTTCATTATTGAACTCATTTAGTATAGTAAATCCCTTAGATTAAATATGTATATTCGGCCATTATTTACTCATATTGTAATTGTTCGTTGACCATTTGTATGCAATATTAGTAATATATAACCTTGTTTTTGCGGGCTAATAACATTGCGGGAAATACATTAAACAACACCCCACATAGCTCGTAGATAGATAATCGCGTAGGCGTAGAGGAAATGACCAATGAATGATTCAGCTATTTGAATATCTATCTACAGACATGTCTTGACTAGTGGTGAGATATAACCTACTAAGCACATGGCATATGCCATATCTCTAAACGTCATTGCTGCTTAATGTCTATTGGCATAAGTACTTACTAACACAAACTGAATATCATTAGTTAAAGTAAAAAATCAAAGTTTATTCTACCTAGTTATTTACTCAAAACACCTACTGATTGACAGGTCACTTTGTGTCAGGTACGCATACCACAGTAGTAACAATTACATTTAGTAGCTGTGATATATGATGTATGCTTTGAGGTTATATCTCACCACTACTCAAAACGTTAAACATATTGCTAATATTTGCCTCGCTATTGTCAAAAGTACCTGTATCATTTGAAAATGGAAATGGATAGTGTTTCACGTTTCAGACTATCATGTTTGCATATGTTATTATTACCGCTACCTAAATATTTTTTCTGTAAACATGCACGACAGTCATATTATGAGGGGTGCAGGGGAATAACAAAAAAAAATATTTTTCTCTATTTTGTGATTTTAATAATTCAACGGAACAGGGGAAAAACAAAAGGAGTTCTTTAACATTTATTTGTGAAATATATTCATAAGCGTTTAAACTAAGAATAAAATACATAATTCAACCGAACAGGGAAAACAAAAAGAGATCCTTATCATTTAAGGTTGAAGGGTTAAACAAAGAACTTAAATTACTGGGAAGAAAGAGTAAAATCCACTGTTTACGTACAGAAAAGCGTTACTTAAATGTCAGTGTTGAAATATTTACAGTATTTTGCCACCTGCGAAAAAAAATTAAATAAACGCTTGTTCCGGAAGCGTTGATCAATCTCACTGTATGATTAATCAAGGGTCATTTTTATGAACATATGCCTATCTAAAAATGAAAAGAAATGAAAATGAAAATGAAGTGGATCAATAAAAAAGATAAAATACATGTCACTATGTGTAACGCTCACTTTAAGTTGACATTTAGAAAATCAACTTTTCGATTATTTTTGATAATTTAAATAAGTTTCATAGTGACAGTTTAAATTTGTTTACATTTGTCTGCCTCTATAGCTAGATATACCATATGGTGTTTATTCTAATATCGCTTACTTCTTTCACTATTTGTAGCTAACAAGGATCCAAGTTTAAAGTGTAATTTGAAACACATCTTTCATCGTTTAATAAAATAATCTCGCTTTCTTTTAATTTTCTTTTAAAGATACTATTTTCTGTCTCCAAAATTTTGGCCGAACCCTTAGTGTTGTGATGTAATCTACTCAAAAAAATTTATTTGTGTTAAACCTTAAAAAAAAATATATAGATGCCAATGTTTACAGAAAAATATTCCTATATGTATGTATATCTATGTCATAAGAATAACGTAGAAGTGCAGTCAGCAATGAATTTGATACATATTTTTAGTGTTGCCAATTTATGGGGATTTTACCATATTGTGGGGAATTTATAAATAAAATTGTGAAAATGCGGGCAAGGGAAAAATGTCTGTCAATGTGGGAAAACTCTTTATATGACTGTCGTTGCGGTAGAATATCCAAAAAAAATGACTTGAATGTTCTGTTATTTGAATATGCTGTTTCAATTCCACGCCAGATTTCCTGTTTATGGAAAGAAACTAAACAACGTTTTCATCCACAGATTTTGATCTGTGTTCTGTAATTCATGTTCTGTGGTTTAACAAATGGATGATTATGATGATAATTATAAAATAACCGGTAGTGATGATTGGTAAATATATAGTACATAAAATGTAAATTCAAAATAAATGAAAAAGAAAATTAATTAAAAAAAGAAAATGGTCCTTCAAATTAAATGGCGAATAATCCTTTTTTAAATAAATTCGTAGAGAAAAACACGAATGTCTTGACAAAAACTTTTTTTAATTAAGAATAGCGACTGAAGCTATTTTATGCAAATTTGGCTTGCAGTTTTAATGTCTAATTACCCACAGGTGTATCATCCATATATGTTACATACATGCTCGTATTCGAGGACATAGTTTTTTCGCTCAAACTTTTTTTCTTACAGGCTGCTTCAAATTTGACTCAATATTTTGATACACCGATTTCGAGATAAATGATAAAATTAGACTAGGTAATTATGGCTAAACATGGGAAAATATCAAATTATTTTTTAAATGAAAATGTTTCATATACCTAATCGTATTGCATCTATGAATGAAATAAAACATTTTCTTCTTTTGTAATGTGTAATTTGAAATAAACTGTATATTTTTATTAATTTTGAATACCCTGTATACCGAGAATAATGCGTTTCCGCGTGTGTTTGTAACGTTTAAATTTGGCTAAGCTTTTTGTTCGCCCCCTGTTTATATTTATTTAATATTATTTATGTATATTTAGTTTTAATTAAACACAACGGAAATACATATGTGCAAGAAATGTACTTGGGAGGATTTAAAATTAAATGCTCGAAAAAAAGGGAGAACATTCTTCGCATTTTCGGAATTACCACGTCAATATGTTGGCAACATTGGTTTTAGATATTTTGGTACAGATACATGGAAAATATGTCTGTTTTTCTTTTCATAGCTTTCTCAAATTTTCCATTATTTTACAAAATAGAATTGTAGTTTGTTAAAATTTAAAATTGCTCTACTCTAAAATATATCTTTTATCACTGTTTTGTTTCTTCCTCTGTATACCCTTCTTATAGTAAAATCTAAAACCACATTTAAATCACAAACATGTCATAATGATTGGCAGCGCCACACAGAAAGGGATAAAGCAGATTAATTACCATTACATCATGTCGTGAAGGTGGGGTGACACCTAAGAGGTCATATTTATACACACATCCACTTTAACTAATGAATGGGGACATAATACTTACTGGTTTGAGTACTTTGACTATGAAATATGTCTTTAATCCCGCTATCCGCAGGGCCTCATCCCTCTTTTCTCCGTACGCTGGTTCCACCTCGAACTCACCGTTGAGGAAAGAGAGCGTAGCGTCTGATATGTGCACCCTCCTGCAAATAAGAAAAATAATACCTTTTAATAACGGATATTTCCTTAAAAATCTCATGTATTTTATTTTCCGGGCATGTTATGCGCCGGGAAAATATCAAATGTTATTAGAAAATAAAAAGACGGAGTTTGAGTTTATTTTCTGTTTTCTGTCGGCATTCCTTATTTATTAAGCATGGGTTTTGGTTTCTGCAGGTTTCCTTTTATAAAATATTGTATTTTCAAAGGAACATTTTCCCTTTATGTATCTTGTGACCGACACAGCTGTGCGAAGTAAATTACACAGGTCAACATTTGATCTAAGAATAATCACCGGACCTGACCAGGGTACTTATAGGTTTTTTAGATCGCTAATTCCGAATCCGAGGTTGGCTAAACTTCATCACGTCAGGTTCAAGGTCAAAATTTGAAAAAATTCATACACATGTTTTTGGGGTAGCCGAGTTCAAAGTCGGTGCTATTTTCACCATTCAAATACATCTAAAGGTCGTATCAAGGTCATTTGGAGGTCAAATCGAGAAATATGGTCTAAAAAATCTGAGAAAATTTATACGTATGTTTTTGGAGTAGCTGAGTTAAAATTCGCTGTCAGTTTTACCCCTGAAGGACATCTGAAGGTCATATGAAGATCATATCAAGGTCATTTAAAGGTCAAATCGAGAAAATCGGTCTAAAAAATCTGAACAAATGTATACGTATGTTTTTGGTCTAGCCGAGTTCAAAGCCGCTGTTATTTTCATCATTTAAGTACATCTAAAGGTCGTATCAAGGTCATTTGGAGGTCAAATCGAGAAATATGGTCTAAAAAATCTGAGAAAATTTATACGTATGTTTTTGGAGTAGCTGAGTTAAAATTCGCTGTCAGTTTCACCCCTGAAGGACATCTGAAGGTCATATGAAGATCATATCAAGGTCATTTAAAGGTCAAATCGAGAAAATCGGTCTAAAAAATCTGAACAAATGTATACGTATGTTTTTGGTCTAGCCGAGTTCAAAGCCGCTGTTATTTTCATCATTTAAGTACATCTAAAGGTCGTATCAAGGTCATTTGTAGGTCAAATCGAGAAAATCGATCTAAAAAATCTGAAAAAGTGTATACGTATGTATACGAGTCTTGACCGAATGAGGCAAAAACATAAAGGAGGCTAGCCAGTTAAGGCAATTTTCCGGTCAGTTAGGTAGAAATATAAGCGTGTCCAGCCAATTAAGGCAAGACGAGTGAATGTCCTAGCCAGTTAAGGCATGAACAGGAGTGTGTCTAGCCAGTTAAGGCAAGACGAGTGAATGTTCAGACCAGTTAATGTAGAAAAAAGACTGTCCAGCCACTTAAGGCAAGACGACTAACCTTGAAATGATCTTTGGACGTTTTTAGATTACATCACAGTATAGCTCAGAAAACTCAAAAACATATACATAAATTTTTCCAAAATTTTCTTCGTTTGCCCTTCTAATGATTTTGAAATGACCTTCAGATGTTGATAATGGTAATATTGAATTTAAACTCAGCAACCCTAAAAATATACGTATACATTTTTTCAGATTTTTTATAGGTACCGATTTTCTCGATTGACCTTCAAATGACCTTGATATGACCCTCATATGACCTTCAGATGCCCTTCAGGGGTGAAACTGACAGCAGATTTTAGCTCAGCTACCCCAAAAACATACGTATAAATTTTCTCAGATTTTTTTAGACCATATTTCTCGATTTGACCTCCAAATGACCTTGATACGAGTTTTGAATGGTAAAAATAGCAGCGGCTTTGAACTCGGCTACCCCAAAAACATACGTATGAATTTTTTCATATTTTTTAGACCATTTTTGGCCATTTGACCTTCAAATGACCTTGAACCTGACGTGATGGAGCTTAGCCAACCTCGGATTCGCAATCAGCGATCCAAAAAACTTATAAGTACCCTGGTCAGGTCAGGTGATTATTCTTAGATCAAATGTTGACCTGTGTTATTAATCGCAACTGTTGATAAAGTGTCTCTAGAACACAGATTTTGAAACGAGTTGACAATGTCAAAATTAACTTATTAATATACAGGGTGTTTTTAAATGAAGTAGCAAAAATGGTACCAGTTAATGTAGAGCCAAAAATAAGAGGATTGAAGTAAAAATACCTTATATGAACGAGGAATGCTATAGACACGAAACTTGATATGAGCATCCTACTAATAAACAGAAAACTTTTCAGTATTTCTTCGATTATTGACGTATTTTATAGAGTGAAACAGTCAACCCCATTGCAATATTTTATTAGAAATTTTTTATATGAAGCAAATTATTTATTTAAAAATATTTATTTGGATGACTGATTTCTTGCGCAACTTTTTTACCGCTTGTAATTTTTCGATAAAACCGATAAATTTCAAGTAAAAAAAATAGTTGCGTCATCGTTCAGTGAAGGAGTAATTGCGAAAATTTGTAAAAATAAAGTAGGCGAATGTCATAACAAATAAATTGTTTTTTATCATATTAATAAATTGACACTTTCTGTCAACCAATTGATTAATTTATTATCAGAATAATTATGGCAAATAATATTTATACCAATGACGAATATGTTGACATGCTCCAAGTGTTTTTCGAATCTAGAAAAAATTGTAACGCTACAGTAAGATTATACCACCAAAGATATCCAAACCGACCGATTCCTCATAGACAAACATTGGCCTCGATGGAAAGAAGGCTTCGCGAAACTAGTAAAATTCAGCCCAATCGTGAGGGTGCCGGAAGAAGGCGTAATGTCCGAACTGTTGAAACTAAGGAAAGTATACTGGAACATCTAGAACAAGACTGTGGTACAACCACTAGACAGGTGTCCAGGCAACTTCAAGTTTCTCACAGTCTTGTGTGGAATGTAGCTCATGCAAATTTTTTATACCCTTTTCACCATCAACCCGTGCAATAATTGACCCTGATTTACCTAACCGCGTGGATTTTTGTCAATGGTACATTAATATTTCCAGGCATGATTTAAATTTCCTAATGAATATACTTTTCACCGTTGAAGCAAATTTTCCTAAAATAAGTGCAGTAAACCTTCATAATGTTCATTCATGGTCGGAAGAAAATACTCATGAAATATTTGTTTCAAGATGTCAACATAATTTCAGTTTAAACGTTTGGATGGGAATTGTAGGAAATACTCTAGGTCCATTTATTCTTCCACACATGCTTGGAGCGGCCGAGTATCTTAAATTTTTGAAGGGAAATCTGCCAACTTGAGGATTTACCCCTCGCTACACGTCAGGTGATGTGGTATATGCACGATGGGGCGCCTGCACATAGTACATTTGCCGTTAGATAATGGCTAAATTTAAATTACCCGAATCGCTGGGTTGGTCGTGGTCGTGATGCCTGCACGTTTACCTGACCTAACGCCTATGGATTTCTTTTTGTGGGGACACATAAAAAGTATTGCTTATGCCTCTCCTGTTGCCTCCTTAGAAGAACTACGCTTAAGAATATTTCAGTCAACAGATGACCGTCGCAATAACCAAGAACTGTTTGTGCGAGTACGTTATAACTTCAACAGACGTATTGGGTTATGCTTGCAGCAAAATGGAAATTATTTCAAGAATATTTTTTAAATTTAATTTTGCATCTCTTGTTTTTCGTTTGTATTAAATGTTATTTCAGATAAATAACTTTACCTAATACATGTCCCATAGTCATAAGTTATCAAACACTTTTCATTAATTAATAGCAAATCATTCTTAATGTTATTATTAAATTACCAGCTTATTGACAGAAAGTGTCAATTTATTAATATGATAAACAACAATTTATGATATCCCCCTACTTTATTTTTACAAATTTTCGCAATTAATCCTGTAGTGAACGACGACGCATCTAATTTTTTTAGTAGAAAACTATCGGTTTTATCGAAAAAATACAAGATGTAAAAAAATTGCGCAATAAATCAGTCTTCCCAATAAATATTTTTAAATAAATAATTTGCTTCGTATAAAAAATTTCTAATAAAATGGGGTTGACTGTTTCACTCCTTTATAAAATACGCCAATGATCGAACAAATATTGAAAAGTTGTCTCTTTATTAGTAGGATGCTCATACCAAGCGTTCCTCATGTTGAAGAAAAAAATAAATGTGAATTTCAATCCCGTCCTTTAAGAGGGTATATCGCCTCAGGGGTACAACTTTCATATAAGGCATTTTTACTTTAATCCTCTTATTTTTGGCTCTACATTCACTGGTACCATTTTTGCTACTTCATTTAGAAACACCCGTATAAATTTCTCTTTTTTATCGACTTTGTTTAATATTTTGATATATTCATTAGTAATGATACATGAGATGCTCATGTAATATTCACATACTATACAGGGTGTTCTACAAGCTCTATGACGAATTTTGACAGATGGTAGCTAGGTTAATTTCAAACATTTTTTCTTATATGAACATAGGTCCGATTCGTTTTTGTTTAGTTACAAGCATTTTAAAGAATATAATTTCGTATTTCAATGAAAGTAGCCTGATAAATAAAAATGATGGTTGCTATAACAACAATTAATATTTGTGTTTAGAATTTAAACTTTAGTTAACCTTAGGTAATTAGGTAATCAAATTAACAAATCTTAAGACTATAAAAACTGTTCAAAAAGTCCACACTCGGCTCGAATGCAAACCTCACATCGGCGAATTAAAGATTCCTCCACTCAACGGATGAGATTTGAATCATTTCTTATTATTTCTTATATATTTCTGGTTAGCTGCAACCTGAATTCTTTCAAGTAACTGCTGACGGATACCTAGTTATTTTAACATGGCAGACATGCTGCTTCACATGTCGGATAAATAAAAGTCCAAATTATTTAGATGTGGGGAATGCGGTGGGCATGCTATTATATCTTGTTGACCTATCCATTTATTCGGAAAATGATCATTTAACCAAGCAGTTACTTATCTCCCTCTATGTAGTGGTGCACCATCGTGCTGATATCACATATTTTGTATGATATTAAGCCCTACAT